CAACACTGCAGATGCCGATCCTGTCGACTTCATTGCAGCCCTGGAAGCCATGCTTGTGAGAAGTGAAACATCCGACGACATGAAACACTCCGTCCGACAGCGTGTTACCTCCTTGCTGATGACACACAGACCAACCAAATGTATTTCACAGAGTGAGTCAAAGGCTATGAGGGAACTGAGGAGGGACGACAGCATTATCATTCTACCGGCTGACAAGGGACGATCAACCGTCGTGATGAATAGAGAAGACTATAATGAAAAAGCTAAAGCCCTACTTGATGACAGAGAATTTTACAGACCAGCACAGAAGTCACAAGCCAAAGCAGTAGCAGATCGGCTGGGTAAACTGCTTAGAGAATACCGACATAAAAATGTGATCACGGAGAATGAATGGCACCAAATGAGGGCAACTGACACCGCTCTAGCCCGATTCTATGGTCTGCCAAAAATCCATAAAGCAAATGTCCCACTTCGGCCAATCGTTGCCCTAAAAGGCAGCCCCACCTACAATTTGGCAAAGTGGATGTACTCAAAACTGAAGTTCCTCCAAGGCAATTCGACTACCTCAGTTCGATCAGCCTCTCAATTCCTCATAGACCTCCGAGGTCGGAGAATTCAATCGGACGAAATCATGGTCTCCTTCGATGTGACGTCGTTATTCACATCTATCCCACCAAACGTGGCCCGCGAAGTCTTGCGCAAGAGACTTGAAGAGGCGTACGATGAGACTCAGAATGCCCTCAAAATTGAACACCTCATGAGGCTGTTTGAATTCTGCCAACAAACTTTCTTCACTTTTACGGGAGAGACCTATGAACAAATCAAAGGAACCCCAATGGGCTCACCGGTCTCCGGTTTGGTGGCAGAACTGGTCCTACAGTAGTTGGAAAAGATTGCCTTCCTCCAACATGAACCAGTGTTTTGGCGACGTTACGTTGACGACACGTTCGTCATCGTAAAGAAGGACATGCTGCAACATTTTCACAGCCTGCTCAATGCAGTCTTCCCAGATATAAAATTCACGAGGGAAGAAGAACAGGAGCAGCAGTTGCCCTTCCTGGATGTGCTCGTCAGACGAAACCTTAACGGTGAACTTGAAACGACGGTTTATAGGAAGGCAACGAACACCACACAGCTTCTCAGTTTTCACAGCAATCATCCGGTGGCTCACAAACGAAGCTGTGTGAAGACGCTCTTCAAACGGATCCAAACTCATTGCAGCAAACTGAAAGATAGAGCGCGTGAGGCCCGTTATCTCCGCGACCAGTTTGTGCAAAATGGCTATCCGAGGGCATTCATAAGTCGCTGCCTACGCGGTCGCCACCAGAGAACTCAAACATCAACGCCACCGACGATATGGCATTCTCTGCCATACATCAAGGGTGTTTCAGAAGCGACCGAGCGCATTGCTGCGGAGCTAGGGGTTGGAATCGCACACCGCCCCAAAGCCACCATGCGCAACAGGGTCATGAAGATCAAAGACCGGTTAAAACCTGAAGAGCAATCTGGAGTAGTGTATCGCATTCCGTGTCAAAATTGTCCTTGTTATTACACAGGACAGACTGGACGCATGCTCGGATCGCGCATACATGAACATAAGCTGGCTGTGCGGCGAGGCGACGCATTATCACAAGTGGCCGCCCACACCTACGAAATGGGTCACGAGTTTGACTTCGCAGCCACCAAAATAGTTGCCCACGCCGGAAACAAAACAGACCGAGAATTGATTGAAGCCTAGGCCTCAGATGAGAACTCGGTCAATCGATTTATCGATCTGGCGCCGGCGTACAGAGCCCTTCGTAGTCACCTCCAGTCGTGCGACGTCGGTCGATGATTGGGTCTACGTGCCTTATAACTGCCGCTTGTCCTGTTTCTGCCACTACCTCTGACGATGGACTCCTGTACGAGTCTGAAAGCTCAGGATAATAAACGAATTGTTCCGGTGCTCGACTCTTCTTCTTCTTCAAACAACTTAAACTTTGTGCCAGAAATATATCGCTATGGCAAAATAAATACTATGCGCCAAATAGCGTTTGAATCACCATCTTACGAAGAAAACGCATTTCCTGCGTCAGTCCTTGGCTCAGTTGACCCCACAAGCAAGAAACCGCTCAAATACAATTTTGGTGCTTTCCTGTCAATTAAAATGTTGACTAGACATGTTGAAACCTAGGAGAACTGTTAACTTGATTACGCGACGGGTCACGCCTGTCAATTAGACGGGCTGCACAACCACCCGGCCATCTGTTCTGCCCTGTGGAGTAGTCTGGCTCTGCCGGTCAGAGAGTCGATGCACAAAGGGTGACCCACAACTTTAATGCTGGTCTCTGCAGACCAGTCCGCATGTGTGTCAATACCACGTGTTTCTAACTGCACACTTTTCGATGCTACAAAGCATATTAATTTTTTTTATTAAGTTGTAATATGTAAGTATGCTTGTTTGACCTGCAGACAAGCATAAGATTCTCTGGAATATTTCAGTTGGTGAAATCATCACGGTGTTATAGTACCAATATAACGCAAATCCAGTTAAATATTTACACATGTTGGCGAGGAACACTCTCGACATTACTTTCAAACCTGGCAGGAAAATAATATTTGACACGATAAATTTGAATACACGGTTACAGCGGAGGGCGTAAAAAACTTGCCTCGCTTATCCAGAGAGGGTTGTGGCTAGGAAAAATGCCGAGAAAATTTAAATATGCATCCGCGGTCACCCGTGATAACACCACAGAAACCGCCAAGGAAATGGCATCTACTGGAGATTTTTCTTCTCAGCACTGCCGTCTAAATCACTGCCGAATTACTACCCATTCGATCACATTAGCCACTTGAACGAGGTCTGTTGCCTGTAAGCCACTGTGGATTCTAAAATTATAGTGAAATTACCGACGTGATATGCGTAGTCGGTCAGCCGCAGATTAATTGCCATCGAAAAAGCATCATCCTTTAGACCTCCTTCTTGTATTTCACCAGCACTTACTAGACGTGGTCTGGAGAATACGCCTTCATTTCGGCCTTATGGCGCGCGTGTTGGAAAATGAATCCGGTATGGAACGTCCTCGTGGTACCCAACGACGTGAAACAGGAGAGTGAGTTGACTCAAGCCCGTTTTATCCTCATGTGTGAGAGTCTTGATCGGTGAAAAATACCGCTTATCAAACTGACGAAAAAGTATTTGACATCCGCGCAGCCGGCCCGCCACAAGAACCTCCACCATGGTGTACCAGTGTTTAAGAGGTGAAGCCCTTAGCGGACCACCGAAGCAATTGTATTACACACCTAGCCATTATTTTGGAAAATTAGACGTGGTCTACACGGCCCGGCAGTGCAAAGCATTGCCTCAAACTGTTCGTTTTTCAGCGACATATATGTTGCCTATTGCGCCACTTAGATTTCGAGACTTACGTGGCAGCTGTGATTTAACATCAGTCCCTTTATTCTCGACACCTTTTGAAAAATTTGACATAGCGCAGCTTCGCTCAACAAGTGGTCCTGTAGTTTATTTATTTCCGTATATTCACGGACTTAATTACGTGCGCATTGTCGCCGAACTAAGCAGTTTTACTGAACGATCGATTATAGGACGCGCCTTTACTGGTTAGCCGCACTAACAGCTTAATCACTGCTTTACGACAGCACCGATATCAAAAATCTCCTTGACTGTATAAAGGTACCAAGTGAAGAGGACTGCGAATTTGGCGGTTGAAATCAACCATCTTAAGTGTTTTAACCGCAGAACGGGACGAGAATTTGAATCGCATTTGTTTAACAGTGCCGCGGCTACCCCGAAAGTATCCCACAATTACACCACACTTGGTGTGCGAAATAAAGATCCTTCGCTCTTGTTAAATACTGCTGACGGCGAAAACCTCAATGACGATGGGACGAAAACTGATCGCACTTCGGCAGCTCTTCTGTATGTCTTTAGTAGGGAAACTAAATTCATCCCCCACACGAGTGGCTTCGAGGTGGCCACAATACAGCAGACCTTTCAGTTCACCAATGAATTTTTTAAGGGGGTCGCTTGGGATGTTGCAGTAACTCGCTGAGGAGTTGGAGGATCCACTCATTATGCGTTTTCATCCGTCCTTGGTTGCCAGAAAACTGAGTGGATTACATTGTTTTTTTGAGAGCGAATGTTAATCATCTCTAAAACAATAGCAGATCAATCAGTCGCAGCTCCGATTGCCTAGAAATTGTGATAAATAAGAAGGTCATAACAAATGGAGTTCCTTGGATGAAAACATATGCTTTCATATTTTCTGTAAAGATGTGGTAGACACGTGTTCTATGTGATAATATTGATCTCCGAATGGGAGAGAATATGCACATCCCAGGTTCTTGTTTAAAAGAAGACGAAGACACCAGCACTAGGACGATGGATTTATTGGCCTTATCTTTCGAAGTCGAACTCGAGTTTATCATCAGAGACTGCTGGAGTGCAGCAACGGGTGAACATTTATATCGTTGTGTCGTGAGGGGGGGACTACGGTCGCGATTAGGTCTGGTTTTTGCCGCCTGGTCCACAACGGTCCCCCCGCGTTGTGACGCCGTCGTACAACGAGTCGTTTAACGCTTCCGGAAGCAAATGATAAGAGTTCTGATCAACGGCTGCGCAAGTACCCAACTGTCATAGAAGAAACAAGGGCGGAGTGCGCGCCATTACTCGGCGAATTAATTACTGATTGTCTCGATCGAACAATAGCGACCCTGCCAAAATAGAGACAGGAAGTGAGACGAATGAATCTAGTCCAAAAAGTCGTCAAATTGAAACCCGAAATCAATACCAACGAAAATGTGGTACACAACTTATCGTCGAAGTAGTTATGCGAACCGGAACTCAGAGTGCTGAACCATGAAGATAATTTTAACACTGCTGATGCCACGTCAGCCGACCTCATTGTAAAATTTGAGGCCATGTTAGTACGACATAACGCCACCGTAGAGGCTAAATACACGGTGCGCCAAAGGCTCTCGTCTCGCATGATGATGAACAGGTACTCTAGCAATATGTCGCCCACAGAAATAGCAGCAATGAAGATATTTTAAATGGACAAAGACATTATAGTGCTACCGGCCGACAAAGGAAGAGTAATCGTTGTGATGAACCGCGTTGATTACAAAGAGAAAGCACAAGCTCTTCTAGACGACCAACAGTCACACAAGTGCGCACCAGCCTCGCAGGCTTAATCAATGATTGACTGCACTCTTAAGCCGACCCCGGCACAACAATGCAATCTTGTTTGATGAATGGCACCAGACAAAACCAACCGACACGGCATTGGCCAAGATCCATGGACTAACAAAAATCCAAAATCCAACGTTCCTCTGCGGCCAATCGTTCCCCTGAAAGGCAGCCCCACATACAATTAAGCCAAATGTGTTTCCCGAAAACTCTATTTTCTCCGAGAGAAGTCTGTGATGTCAGTCAATTCGGCCACACAATACCTTGCCGACATTCGGGAAAAACTATTCGACTCAATCAAATTTTGATATTCTTCGACCTTGTTCCACTTTTAATGTCTATCCCACCAGACCTTGCGCGCGACGTGCTAGGAAAACACCTCGAAGAAAAGGACGACGAAAAGACAGGGCACCAAAAAATGTAGAACCTAATGCAGCTCTTTGCATTCTGCCCACCAGCCTTTTTCACCTTCGATGGCTGATGAACATACGAACACATCAAAGGAACACCCATGGGTTCCCGACATCCAGCCTATTTGCGGAATTGGTCCTTCAAGAGATCGAAAAGGTTACTAGCACCGATACGTGGACGATACATAAGTAATTATTGAAAAGGACAGGCTGTCATGTTGTCGAGACCTGCTTAACAACATTTTTCCTGACATTCAGTTAACAAAAGAATACGATGAGACG